CGGGCGGCCTGGTGCTGCCTGTAAGCGTAGCGGAAACATCCCCGAGCTGGGCGTTTTGGTTGATTCTGTGGTTTCTTGCCTGGGTGGGTATAAATCCTCGGAAGCCCCCGAGTAAGTAGCGCAGTCACCTCCCCAAGCGGTCCCCGCTTAATTCCGCGTCAGCGGTGCTGTAGGTTAAGTCTTTTCTCCGTTTCAGTGAGCAGCTGATGCAGCTGTACAGCGCGCGCCAGCGCCGGCGCCTCAACCGGGGCCTGCGCCGCAAGCAGCACTCCTTGCTGAAGCGCCTGCGCAAGGCCAAAAAGGAGGCACCTCCCATGGAGAAGCCAGAGGTGGTGAAGACCCACTTGCGTGACATGATCATCCTCCCCGAGATGGTGGGCAGCATGGTCGGGGTGTACAACGGCAAGACGTTCAACCAGGTGGAGATCAAGGTGAGCCGCGGGGAGAGGTTTCGGGAAAACAGGGCCGCGTCCTGTTCCCTCCGCTCTCTGGGAAGGCGTTGAGTCTGGAACAGCTGCTTGTTGCTGGCGTTCTGCCGCTCCGAGCGGGGCTGCGCTGGCGTGGTGGCATCCAGAGCACTGCTGCGTCGCCTTGTTGAAACCTCGTGTAACTGTAATTCCTCCCCTGTATTCGAGGAGGGGGCAGTTGAGGTTCGCTTGGGTGGCATATCTAAAAGCGTGCTGCACTTCTAACGGTGGGCTGCTTGCAAAGGCGTTTTACTCGAGGCCTTAAAAAACTTCAGTAGAGCTTCGGTGAGAGCCCTTGGCTGTCGTGAGCGAGCGAGCGTGCCGAGGTGCCGCCGCGTCAGAGGCGGGCCCAGGGAGAGCCAGAGCAGGCGTGTGCTCACCGCGCTTAACCCTGGCTCGCTGCCCCCTCGCGCGGGAGACGGGTTTCAGCTGACATGGAGTCGCTAAGATTTCCTGGGAGTGGAATAACCAGCAGCCATGGGGAGCGGGGTGGTGTGACCTGATCCTGCTGCCAGGATTAAATGACCTCTTCTCTGAGGGCTCTTTTTGCACCTGATACCTCAACCAGAGGACCCCGGGGCTTGTGCGTCTCCCCTCCCGGGTGTGCGGCACGCGCTGCTTGTCGGGAGGGCTCTGAGGAAGGTGTCCTCGTCCCTCCGAACTCTCTGGCTCCACAGAAGCACCGGCAGTGGCTGCTGCGGGAGGCCTGGTCCCCGCAGGCAGAGCCTGTTCCGCACGCGGCGTTCCCAGATCAGCTACTCTGCGGCATGGCTGGAGAAACCAGCTGCGTGCGGGGATTCTGCTGGCATCTAGGGATAGGGGTTATAACTGTTCCTAACGATTGCACTCTGTGGGGCGATAGTTTACAGAGAAGCGACTACGGCGTCCTTCAGGTGTTCCCGAGGCGCTCCTTGCCTCCCTCGCAGCCGCTCAGGTCGCTGTCGCTAACAGCTCTCTCCCTTCTCTTCCAGCCCGAAATGATCGGTCACTACCTGGGGGAATTTTCCATCACTTACAAGCCAGTGAAACACGGCCGACCTGGTATCGGTGCCACCCACTCGTCTAGGTTCATTCCTCTAAAATAAACAGTTTTGGGAAATGTTTTCTATGTGTAAATAAAGAAATTTCTCCCAACTGTCTTGGGTCCGTCTTGGAGACGTGTCTTCGTGGGATATCTGTCCTTACTCCTTGGATGCCACTAGCTCGGGTGGAGGTTGTGTGTAGCCA